ACCCTTCTTATGGTTTACTGTAAGATCTAGAGTTGGGAAACAGACATTCACAACATTTCCACTAGTTGGTCTAAATTGTATATAGTATATATATATCAAAGTATATATATATAGTTTGTGTGTATATATATATATATATACACTATATTTATATACTTTGAGATATATATATATATATATATATATACTATATACAATTTAGTATATATCAAACATGGTGAAGGGGCCATTTCAGAAGTAACAGTTTCTGTCTCTGCCAGAATTTACTACCCATTTCTATTGCTTCTATTTCTCTGTTAGCTAAAATCTGGAAGTGCCTGAATACTATTCACAAAATCAGCCATACTTCCTTTCCAACCCATTCTATAACTCTACAACATACATCCCTAACCTGCTACCAAGTTTCACCTTGTTTTGACTTTGAAGTGTAAAGGAAAATGAGTTTATATAGTATTCAGTCACCTGTCAGACAGCACAGGGAGGGCAGACAATCACCTTCAGCAGAGGGACAGGAATATCCTAAACATACATTTCACAATATGATCACAACCCTAACTTTGCTGGAAAAAATTGAAAGATAAATCAAAATTCTTAAAGAATTTGCCTTAGAATAACTGCACCAAACAGAACAGTTACAAAATTCTCAAATGGATGGAATCAACTTTACAAAACTCACATCACACAGTCAGCAGCTAAAGAGTGATCTCAGTTCTGACCTTGTGCCGCAACGATTCATTTTCTTCTTGTATGAGACTGGTCCTGAGACATTCAGCTTCGAAGTTCAGTATGACTGGAACTGGTAAGCAATGTTAAAGAAAATCAAGGCAATAACTTGTGTGCACCTGGATTAATTCTAAAAGCCAGCACTCTGTACTGGCCATTTCTCAGTAAAAACAAAGCTGCCCAGTCCATAAAACTAGCAAAAAGTACATGCACGACCAGAAGATTAACAGCAGCTTAACTACTTAAGTCAAGTTTTCACTTTGCTGTTGCACAAACTTTTTCATGTGGACTTTGCAAGGATTTTTAGATTATTTCTTTTTAGAGTCAGAAGTGGAGGCCAAGACAGGTTCTATTACTGCTTTACTGTACACTGAAGAAACAGTTCAAGATGAGCTGTATTCCAGCTGCAGCATCATCACCAAACAAGACAGAACTCTGTAGCATGGCGCTAAAAACTTATTCCTGCCAAAAATCAATATTCCTGCTCTATTATAATGAGCTGTCACTAGGCAATGTTGTGAACATAATGTACCCAAAGAAGGATCTAACAGAAGATGCCAGTACAGTTATGGATTATGACCCAAGGTTTTATGACTGTTTTGTACTATGTCAAGCAAAGAGTAAAACCATTTCAGAACAAGATGTGCACATGGATGATTCAGCAACAGCAACAACCACAATTGTTTTGCTCAGGGAATACAACATATCAGATAATTGAGCAGTAACTATTATTACTAGCAATAACATCCTCTGGTAAACACCAACTTTCTATTAAGTCTTGGCTGTAAAAAATCACGTGAAAGCAGGAAGTTCCACAGTATTATATCCTTGGCATAACTGTTGGAAGTATAACACCAGGGCAAGGGAGATTGCAAAGCTGCAAAGAAGGATATGCATGCACTGAAATAAGACGCTCAGGAAGTTGTGCAGCGACACGATAAATGTATCTGCCCACTGGCGTGAGAAATAGGTAGCAAAGGTGGGGTTGGAGTCTGGAGCAGGGAGGAAGGGCAGGACAAACCAATCCTTCCACTCTGCCTGGTTCTGGAGCTCGGAGGCCTGCTTGAGGAAAAACTCCTGCGCCTTGTCATTGCGGCCATTCTGAAACACAGCAAGAAGAACAGGGCTCACACTTCTGTAAATGCCATCAGATCAGGTCGAGGAACATTTGCTTTTCGTTATGAACACAACTATTTTCACCACCCTGAAACAACAAGTGATTAGTTACAGATTCACCAGGAAACAAAAGAATCCCAAATACAGTAGGAGAAGCTCACAAATGCGCTTAATCCAGCCTTCCTTCTAGTCACCAGAATCCTGTTTAAAGGCTGAGACCAATCAAACCAAACACACTGGTTTCAGTTAAACCAGTGCAGAGTGCACTGACACGAGCACTCATATACAGGACCAAAGGATAATTCAAATTATTTAAATCTACAGCAGCTTGAAAAGGTTTCAACTGACACATTATTCAGACAGGACTGTCACACCTCAGGGTAAGCACATGGCAAAACAAACCATGAAAAAGCACACTTCTAGAAAGATGTATTAGATTTTGACTCCTCTCCTAATACCTGGATCTTCAGTCATGGAATGGAACCAAGAAGAATCAAGGGGAGAATATACTCCATTGATTTTCCAGAGTTTGAACAGAAAAAATCTCTATTGCATTTTAATCTCATTATTTTCTGTTCTATTCAAAGCAAGCAAAAAGACATTCACTTTCTCTTCCACATTTCCTTGTTCCAGTGTGAACCTTGTGTTCTCTGCCAAACTGTATCTAAGTTAACTGAGCAGGACTGAGCTAGCAGTACTGTTATCTTTCTGAGAGAAACCTGTCTTTATGTGAGTGTGAATGCCTTGCACCCAGCAAACCATGTTTCCCTACTGCCCCAGTTTCCCTACCCTGCACACAAGCTTGTCATGTGAGCCTGCATCAAACTCCACACCACACACTCCTGACCATGACACACGAACTGCTTGCTCCTAATCCAGCAGGCCTGGCAGAGGCTGACAAAGGCAGTTTACTGCTTTGGTTTCAGAGAGCAGGACCTTTATAAAGCAGTACCTGAATAGCATGGACCAGGTAGTATCGGAACAAGCTGGTTTTCAGCTTGTTCACCGTGGGCCGGTACACGTCCTCCAAACGGCTGAAGAGGCGTCGCTCCAGATAGCTCCAGTAATCCCGCAGGGCGGCCAGATCGTAGCTCTGAACAAACTGCTGCAGCTGCTCCACTATCTTATCCACCTAAAGAGGGCAAACAGGGGAGACTTCACTCAGGGGAGGGCTCTTGAGGCACAAGCCTTTCTGTAACTCAGTGCAGAAAAGCCCGAACTGCTTTAGCTGTGCAATCCCTATGCATTAGCTATTTTCTAATCCTGGAAGCACTCTGCATTTTGCATTAGCATTCTTCCACTCTGCAGCACTTTGCAAATGAAGGAAAAGGAAACATGACAGAGCATAGCCAAACAGATTTTGACAGAAATATCACATTTTGTTGAACCCAACTGATGGATTTTTTTGCAAGTAAGCAAAAGTTTCCACCTCCTTTAAAAGTCTGTTGATAATAACAATAAAAAAAATTAATGTGATTAAATGTTTTAAACTCAAGTGCAGCACCTGAAAAAAAGTATTATTTTTAGACTAAAAGGAAAAATACCTGCATTTAGCCAACAGAAAGAGGAAGTCAGTTCTGCTCCATTGCAATTTTTGAAGTACCTTTATCCTCAGTAACATCATCTACTAACAAGGCAAGCATAAAATTTTGCAGGAGAATTTTTTTGTCATTATGCCTCTTTGGAAATAATTTCTGCAGTATGAATAAGGCAGAATGGTGGTGTGGGAATGCATTTTTTGTTCAGTGGTTTCTGATGGCAAAGACAGGCATAAGAAAAAGAAAAAACTGCATCCCGTACAAAATTAAACTAAGGTTGTTTAATATGTGGTTTGCTCTCCCCTCATCACTTAGTATCTTGGGACATACCCAAATTTTATCTCTGTGGCATCCTACAGATACAGAAAACTGAATTTTGTGACCACAGCAGACCCTTCTTGGACAACAATTCAGATTAAGTCACCAGCAAAGTGTGGGCGCTTTAAAAAATAGAAGCAACATGCTTTATTAATGATAAAAGTAGTGCTTATATTGCTGGTCAAGAAAAATCTGAGTGTTCAAAGCACTACATTCGGTGCCCAGAACTGTTGCTACAGGAACACGAAGCTCACACAAGGGACTGAAACTGTATTTTTGAGACTGGCAAATTCTGCGCAAATTTCCACGCATTAGTCAAGGCAGCCGGTACTCAAGACATACAAACTAACGAGCGGAGCTGTAAAGCCGCTGGATAAAAAACTCATGACCGAGAAAAGACGCAGGCAAAGGAATGCCTTCCTGCCCTCTCGGTGCGCGGGTCCCCTCCGTTCTTCTCGCCTGGATCCGCGGGCGGGTGCCCCCAGGTCGGGCGCAGGGTCCCGGGCAGGCTGCCGGGAGCCGCAAGGCAGGCGAGGGCACGGAGCCCGCGCTGGAGCCGAGCGGCAGGGGAGCCTTCGAGCGGCTCCAGCGCCGCGGGGAGGCTGCGTCCCTCAGCGGCGGCCGGGCCGGGCAGGGCAGGGCAGGGCGGGCCGGGCGCTCCGGGATGCGGGTCCCGCCTGAGC